TTACATTCTATTTATCGTCATAAAAGAGCACCAAGCACATAGCTTTTTAAGATCGAACGCCGGAAGGTTGCTAAACACACTACATCATTGCATACAAAACAAATGCGCCGGCATAGCAACAAAACAACACGCGTTCACAAACGTCGTTTTAACACAATCTCAACTAAAGTTGTAAATGTACTTAAATGCTATTAAATATCTTTCTCACAGCACACTAAATAAAAGCATCTTTTATGGTGCCACAAGATCTATATAAATTGCACGATATGTGGCATCATCACCGCATTGAATGACACAGACACAGACAGAGACACAGACAGAGACAAAGATGCTCTTTTCTTCGAGAGGAGAGAGAACGAGAATGACAAAGAGACACTGAGAGAGAAATGGAGAGACAGAGAAAGAGAGACTGCGAGAGTCATTTTAACTTGGCAAACAAAATCAGTGTATGTTTCATTAAGCGATAGACATAATATTAAGTTGCTCCATATAATAATTTAAAAGATTTTCCCAAAGCTGATTTCTTTCTTCCTATCAGATGAACCAACATTTTTGATATAATACTGTTTTATGTCATCATTATCAATTTCTTCATCGCAGATTCGTTGCTTGATGAAACCCCTTCATTTTACTTTTAAAAAATTAATGCGCAAAAACCTATAGACACTTAATTTCCAACGTAGCAACATCAACGTTACGGCTTATCCGACGCATTCTCTGGATCAGTGAATAATATCCTTTGAAGACATGTGAACAATCAAAAACCTAATTATCTTCATTCAAACTTCATGCACTCATTTCACAAAAGCTATTTTTCACTTAAATTGTTCGCTCAATTTAATTAAACGACACGGGAACATTCCAATTTTTATCGTTCAAAGAGAAAAAAGTGAAGAATGATGGTAAAGACGAAGGAAAGTGTAGAAAAAAAGGGCGTATACATCACAGATGAACTTATTAAATAAAAAGAAGAGTATATTTAAATTGAATCATCATAAACACATGATTAGTGTGTTTAGACTCGGTTAGAATATCTTGGCGTCGATTTTCCATGTATATATTTTCATTGTATTAATAAACTGTTGTCACGGAACTCATTATCATATAATCTTTTGTAAAATGATGCTATCGCTCATTTGTCTCGAGTTTAATAATCGAAAACTTTTCCAACCATGCAATACAATGAGCTCAGGCATTATCCCAATGTTTTCGATGTATATTAGTTTTCTTAAGTTTACTTCCATTGAGGTAAAATGTTGAAATTGAAAACAGCACCGCAATAAACAACAACATAAACTATTATGCTCATGGATGAGTTGATTTTTAAAATGCAATTTTGTTTGCATGAAATTTGATAATAAATTCAAAAGACATCTCTATTTGTTAAATGTGGAACATACAATTTTATGTTGAACATGTATGCATTGCCATAAAACTGGAACCGAAAAACATGAAACATTAGTTTCTGAATTGTAATTCAAAATGATTAGGCAATGTAAATACATGGGATAATTTCTGCATTTTGCGTTTGCATGTCTATCTCCCTTGACTCAAAACTAACAGCAATGATACCATTTTGATTAAGTAAAACAATTATTTAGTTTAATATTGTTATTGCAATAGTAGATATGCATATTGCACGCAAATGCTTGGCATGACACACTCATATATTCAATTAGACTGTCCATTGTAGACCATTTTTTGAAAAATCAATGCCGCAAATGTTCACACAATTTTCTCACCTGAAATGAATTTTACGTTGAATTCAACGTGGATCTTTTCATTTGAAAGTGCTCCATCATAAATTACAGACGTATTATTTAATAAGACGGTTAGCATGAGCAAACTGTTGACGTTGAGCATGAAATTATGCATGAATTTTGCTAAAATATGTAAATTAACTTGGAGACATTTACTTATATGAGAAATATGACAACGACATTGAGTACCGGATAATGTACAACCGTGTGCATTAGCGTAACTCTCCTAAATGGTCATAAATCATTTTGAACCGAACATTTTCAGCCGTACACAAGAAGAGTAAGAAAATTAATGTTTTCTACAGTTGTTAGTTTTTGGTTGTGGGTGCGATTTAAGACAAACAAGCTGACAATCTCAATTTTGGATATTTTTTACAACATATTTTGACTTCGAATGAATGTCTTTCTCTTCTTTCCTCTCTTTCTCGATATCGCTCTCTGTATTGTGTGCGTGTTTGTAAATTCAAACAAGAGAACATACGGTGGGTGGTTTAAATGCCACACTTTTGTGTGCGCACGTATTTTGATTAAGTTTGAAATGTAGCTTGTATGTCTCTTCATTCTATCTTGTGCACAAAAAGCACAAAAAAGAAGAAATTTAGTTGACTTACTTGAACACAGTGGGGGTTTTCCGAATTAATCCTGTGGTTCGAACGTTCAAAATAATTATTCACCCTATTCAATTAGAGTGTGTTGCATCAGTGTGAATTTGCTATTCGTACAGCTTAATAAGCTAGTTTATATAGGAACCCACTGAGATTTTGGCATCGTTGACAACAGAAATTGATGCAGATAGCGAGCGTCTGATGAGGTAGATAGGTGATGAACAATGAGCACCGACCTACCATACTGTGAACACAATCACTTATGGCAATTGTCAAGTAGATTTGCATCGAAATTTATTTAATATTTACATCGACAAATCATTGTCAATTTCCTCAATTCTCATTCAGTCATTGTGCACAGATTTACAGTAGCTGTATTAATGTTAATGCATGCAGATTCGGTAAAGTGTTACGGAAACTGGTAATTTACGCGCCATCACTTTATTTATATGAAACACTATCATAAATTATTCGAAACCATACAAACGCACATATTCAATTCAAAAATTATTTATGCAAACATTAATATGTGCACAAAATACAGTTCCAATTTATTTACTTTAAATGCAATTGTTGTATATTCTATCAAATAAAAAACCTCCGACGAGGTGAAGAGCGAGTGACGAAACCAAAATGTGAAACACAAAATTTCTGATATCAATTTTGTGACGAAAATAAATGATAGAATATTTTTCTGTGTACTGTGAATAAAAACTTAATATACATTTGAACATTCAAAACGTTGCAGAAATTCCTCTCTTTTTACTGTCATTATGGACTGATGACGCAATGCAACGTTCCGAATATACGTCAAGTCTAGGTGCCACAGTGACCGTATGAAAAAATGGCTATTTTGGGCCATATTTGCACCATCGAAGGCCATATCTTGAAAACAAGATTTTTCTGGGATATGAGCTATGCGGCATATTATAGCTTAGACTTGTGCCTAAAATCGGTGAAATTTTCAAAAAAAAAAATCGATGAGCTTGTTTTCGAGGTAATGGACGTTATATGTCCTGCCGAACGGTAATTTTTTTGGTTTTTGGCCAATTTGGCCACCCCAATTTTTTGACCGCAAATGGTACCATTCGATAGCTCATCTCAAGACCTTTCCAAAGATATGCATATGTCCGGGGTGTGTCACATGGAGGCAACCCGGTGACCGTAGGGACAAAAATCAAAAAGTGACTTTTAGTGGCCGGCCACGGCCATCATTGCGGCCAAATCGAAAAGTTCCGGAACAAAAAAGTCTTAGTTTTTTGTGTACTTTAATCACAGAAAGTTTCAAAAAGATCAGACTCGAGTACGCAAAATCGCGCACAGACAACCATTTTGATTTTTCATTAGAAAATTATATGAAATTTTAAAATAATAAATTTTTCGAATGGATTAACCGATTTCGACGGTTAGGAAGTCGTTGGAAAGGTCCTCTAGAATCAGAATATCAATATTTCAGGCCGTAGAACAAAAGGTGTGATTTTTTTTTTACCTGAAACCCCGAAATTCGGAATCAGCACAATCAGATATTTTTCACTCACATTAGCATATTGGATGTCCAAATATCATCTAAAAATTCGGTTTACAACGGAAAGTTTATAACATCTGTTGAGCCGCTCAACTTGAGCGTGTTAGAGAATTCGTTTAAAGCTAATGCGTATTTGTTCATGATTTTAAAGTGTTTTTCTCAAATGAAAAGGAATTTATTTATCCGAAAGAACGAAAATGTGCTTATTTTTCATGTTCGTGTTACCAATAATTTTATTTTCACATAAACAAAGTATTGTCAATATTTTTATTACATCCAAGCTGTGCAAATATCACTTTCTATTTGAAGTCATCATGTAATTATCATTATTTACCGATGAGACTCATGCAAGGGGCAAAGCAGTACTTGAATAATGATTCTAATGCAAAGTTAATGCCAAAAAATATACATATAATGCCACTTAATACCACCTAATGCTATGTGTAGAAAAATAATGTCAAACATACTTTTTCTTCCTTGAATGCGTATTGCTTCTTTTTAAAAACTTTAGCATATTTTTATTATAAACATAATTTCAATGTGAATATAAATAATAAATCTTCCTAAAATTGTAAACGCATCGAATATGCGCGTACAGCCTAACATGGCTTCGATTCCGCTGTACGTACGATGGTGAGAAGAAAAGTGAAGTACGTTACTGTGACGTAAACAACGCAGCTACTCTGCATTGGTAGATTTGACGTATGGTTGACATTATTTTCTATTGGCATTAATTTTGCATCAATGTCATTGTTCTAGTACTGCTTTGCCCCTTGGACTCATGCTAGTCCAAAATTTTAAACCTTTTGGATTTTAAAATCAATTGACCATTTGGAAATTCATTTGTTCACAAGTTAATTTGAGAAAGATTAGTTGGCGACACTACGATGATTTTTAATAGAGTATACGTGTGATACACATTGTGAAATTCCAATGGTGTCAATCATTAAATTCAAGTACAGCTAGTTTTTGAAAAGATTTCACTAATGATTTGCCCCATGGAAATTCTAAATTTGCGTAAATTAAATTTTTTTTTGAACGATCCTAAACGTGCTATTTACACACGTTGACACGTTTACAAACATTTTACTATAAATACAGAGCTGAGATACAAAGAAAATTCAGTTCATGTTGGGAATCGATCACAGGACAAATAAAAAATAAATAGAAAAAGATGGGTGTTTTCCGTAGTCTACTGTTTTTCGCGTTGGTCGCTTTGATGATCATTGGGTAAGTATCTGAAGAGACGTGAATTTCTTGGATCGTTTCTTATTAGATTCATTACAAGCTCAAGCTTCATTAAGAACAGGGGCGAAAAATAACTTTTGCTCAATTAATTGAGTTTGAAACCAAAGTTCTACCTAACCCTTGACGTTTTAAATTTTCAAATAGACTGATTAATTAAAATTTTTGGTTTTGAGCAATAAATGACTTGAGACCAATTGATTTTCTGAATTTAAAGAACAAGACGAACACTCTATAGTCATTCAATTCAAAAATTCAATTGATTAACTATTAGTTGAAAGTTTTAATTGGAAAATAATACTAAAAAATATTTTTTGTATCCCAAAAATGACAAAAAAATAGTATTATTCAGTTTATTTGGCTGTTGAGTCTCAAATTAGATTACTTGTTCGGTATATATTTTAAAATAAAAACATTTGTAATTATTTTACAGAGCACTTGGTAATGAGTGAGTATAAAACTTCTGAAAATCGACCAATGTGTGATCGATGTTTGTTTGTAAACGGCAGAGGGCATATGTGTTTCTGATGCAAAACTAACTTTATATAACTTGTTAATTAAACTTAAATCTTTGGTTTTTTTAAGTTTTAAGGAATTCAACGACATGGTAAAAAAAGAAAATATCGCAACATTGGGTAAAGAGTATGTTCATCAATTCAAAAATGTAAGCAACTAATTGAACACAAGCGTATTAATGAAATTATATTACAGCGGACACAGATGTGTGGATGCTGGAAAGTACGACACTGCGTAAGTATATCGATTTATTATTCTTTGCTTTTGACTTTTTTTTAATTATTATAATAACTATTAATTTTAATCAATACACTTATAAATTTTTATATTCCACACAGAGAATGGTACGCGCGAGTATTGGAGTAAGTATCTGCTGGCATTCATTCACGCATATAAATGTTTTAATTTTTGAACAATTTTTCGTCCCTGATCGAACAGTACAAAAAATGGTGGATCTATTGTGGCGTAAGTATACATTTACTATATATATATATATCGCCGCGTAAATGAATCTCCAAATTTTAATGTTTCTGAATCATTCTAGTGCGGCAATAAGAGATAAAATACCCAAGTAAAGTATTTGATTACATTTGGATAACGGAATTTGCGAATTGAATTTTCAACTAATATTTTTTTAAAGGGATTTTGATTACTTCAATAACCTGACAAAAGAGTTATCTGTCCAAAGATTGAGTGAAGAGTACGTTCATGAATTTATTAATGTAAGCCACTAATATTAAAGCTTATTAATGAAATTATATTTCAGCGGAAACAGAGCTCTGGATAATAAACGGTATGAAACTGCGTAAGTATTCCAAATTATTTTATTTGTTATTTTTATGGTTTTTTAAAAAAATGTTTTGAACACCAACATGGGAAAATTCATGCTAAAATTAAGAAAGATTTGGCCTTACAAAACAAACGGTTAATTGTTAATTCCGGTGCCATTTTTCTAAATTTAACATTCAAAATCCTTAATCCTGGCTTATTAACTATTCATTTTAATCAATACACTATTATATTTGAATATTTCACACAGAGAATACTACGCTAGGGTACTTGAGTAAGTATTTTTCTATCTCGTTTTATGATGGTATTCATTCACACCGTTAAATGGTCTAATCTTTGAAAAAAAACTTCCCTGAACAAACAGTGAAAAAAAGGACGGAGCAGGTGCGGCGTAAGTATATATTTACCTAATTAATATATCGCCGCGTGAATCAATCTCAACATTTTAATATTTCTGAATCATTCTAGTGCGGCAATAAGAGCCAAAATACCCAAGTAGAGATAATTGGCAGGAATAGATGAAAAGGTGGAAATATTTCATACACAAAGTTCATCTGCAGAAAAAAATATCGAAACTTTTGACTTTAGACATAAAAAGGTGTAAATTGTAGTACAACTAAATTTGGTTGAAATTATCTAATCAACCTTTATGTAAAATATCAAAAAAAGGGAAAATAAAAATATAAAAAAAAGTGAAAAATTCTTTTAATCACAGCGGACGACAGTTCGCACAATTATTTAAACAAAGTCATTACATTGCAACTCGACAATCCTTTTGTTAATTCCTGTCAAAATATGAAATTGTAAAGTTCACTTCCAGTATGGGAATATTTTAGCAGAAACCTTCTGAATACATTTAAAATCCTTTAGATGTTTATGTTCAGCTCAATCAAGTTAGCTTTTATAGTAAATTCATATCTTGATATGAAATCCAAAATAATTTGTCAGGTCTCTTGTGTGATATTTATCAAATATTTATATAAAACTTTTATTTAAGAAGAAATACTTTTCCGTTGAAAAAAATATGTAGTTGATATAAATAAAAGACAGTAACAATACATAGCCGTTAGTGTAAATGACGTCACGGTAGATGTACTGCCATCTAACGTTTCGAGGCAGACTTTGTCTTTAAAGAGGTTATATGTAAGGTAGACGCTTTTTTCATTAGGGAGCATACATGCAAGCGATTAGTTTTAAAGTTTATATTCTGCGCTAAATACACTTATTGTGAATATATCTTTGCATTAAATTCAGACTTAAGTGATGGAATCTTGATGTAGCATTTATCGGGAAATTTATTGAATATCTCTACAAAGGTGATGTTAACACCATTGTCCAATGATCGAAACTGCAAACAACAAAGATCAACAAATATTCTCATTATTACCAAGTACTATGGAATAAAATACATACACAGTTTTACACCCAACAAAGCCATCTATTCTCTATCTACTCCGAATTCGATGGATACAAATCAAGAAAGAAATGTGTGCGAATATTCATTTTTGTTTTGTAGACAAACTTATTGTCAAAATATTTTCAGTTTGACTCTTGTCCACTTTCATTTACATGTATTTCTGCGTTGTATGATTAAACCCTATTATGGGTCCCATATACATGCACAAATACAAGAGTTCGTACGTATTTTCTATTGAATGACAATTCAGAGAGAAAATTGTCCTGTCCTGCGTGTTGATATATATTCATAATACGTATATTTAGAGAAGAGGCGAGCGCAAATGCATTGTTTAAATAAATTTCAAGTTTTCTTTGTAAGAAAACCATATTGGAGGTGGTTAATTGTGATTGCATACACACATACACACAGTATCGGGTAATTGTTTGTGCCCGTCCGATTAAAGGGAGAATCTCATAAATAGCGGCTGTTTAGTATACTTAAATTTTGTGACACTTTTTGAATGTGGTTACAATTATTGTCTCTGAAATTGAGATTTTGACATCAGCATTTTAGATGTTTCCTTGCGCAATGAAAAATTGAGAACATGTTTTGTGCGTGTTAAAAAATTCGCATTGAATAATTTTCAAATCGAACAGAATATATTTCTTGCAAAAGATAAAAAATGTTTTTATTTTTTTGTGATCGTGTTACTTAGTTTCTATCGTTTGTTACTGACGCAATAGATATAATTTTGTTTTCACATTAAAATTCAAAGATGTTTTTTTAAAAAAATACATTCCAGCTGTGTAAATATCATTCATAAGTTTTTCGACAACTTGCCTTGACATAAAAAAATTTAAAATTCGATTTTATTGACGTAAGTAATTTACAACGTCTACAATTTTTTTGCTATAAATATGAATCTGATAAATGAGGAAAATTCAGTTCATTTTGAGAATCGATCCCGGGACAATTTCTAAAAGAAAATCAACAAATATGTCTTATTTCCGCAATTTAATATTTTTCGCTCTGATCGCTGTTATGATCGTTGGGTAAGCATCTGGGATACGAGATTTTCTTGAAACGTCTTTCGTTATTCGTTACAAGACACATTTATTTGGATGTTAATAATTTGAAATAAGTTTATCCTTAAAAAAACAAGCCGAAAAATGACATTTCACATTTAACAATGAGCTCGAAACTAAATAATATTTACTTGCTCAGTATCTGCGTATACATTTTGAAAATAAATATCTTTGTAATTATTCCACAGAACACTTGGTGCTCCTTCAAATTATGAGGAATTTAAAGCAGCGGTGAAGAATCAAAGTGTCGAAACATTGAAAACCGAGTAAGTTAATCAATTGAAAAATGAAAGCAACTAATTGAACACAAGCATACTAATGAAATTATATTGCAGCGGACTCAGATTTGCCAGAGCTGGAAAGCCAAGCACTGGGTTAGTATATTGCAATTTCTAATTTTGCCTTTTTTTTGTTATTATAACATTTTAATCAATACACTATCATATTTCAATATTCCACACAGAGAATGGTATGCAAGGGTATTGAGGTAGGTATTTTTTATATCTCATTTTCTGCTTGTATTCATTCACATAAATGAATATCCTAATTTTTGGACCATTTTTTCGAATAGTTCAAAAACTGCTACAGGCGCCAGTGCTGCAGCGTAAGTATACATTTACCTAATTAATATATCTATCGTAGATAAATATCTAAATTTTAATTAATCACACATTCTAGTGCGGAAATAAGAGCTGTACTAAAAGGATTGGAACATTGAATGAAGAAAGTGGAAACGTAACATAATCAGAAAAAATTAAACTTTCGGCTTTAAACATAAAAGACAGCCTTTTTTATTTTTGTGCTGTAGTCTAAATTATATCTAATAAACCTTTATGTAAAAAGTCGAAAAATAAATAAAAAATATAAAGAGAATCTTCTACAAAATCTTTTACTCTATAACAAATATGAAAAAAAAAATCTTCTGGTTAGCTGTATACAAATGAGATTATGTTATCACAATTTAACCGTCATCGACATTATGGAATTTTGGAAATGATAATGTGATGAATAATTCAAAGTGCATACTGTATTACATCCAATTTCAATTGAACCATTCTTCTATCGAAATATCATTAAATGAAATGTTCTACAATCACGAATCAGACGAGTTTGATGATGGAATAACATGCTAACAACTCGACAACAAATGAGCTCACGTATAATATGTTGCTTTCTCGGAAAAAGATCCATTCCATTTCCGCTATGCATGTATTACATGTTGAGAATACGCATTTTTTACAAATGTGTTGTACATGATCCATCAATACTATCTTCTTCATAGATACATAATGCATTGTTCATGTTGAAATTATTGTCATTTGCTTTTAGAAAAAGTGAAGTCAATCAAACATGAATTGCCACGCATAACTATTGCTACATCATTTTGCTCTTTGACTTGAATCATTATCATTGGCGCTGATGTCAACGTTGCTTGTCGTCGTCGTGCTTTCTCTATTGAAGCATCTATAATCAAACTGACAGCCAATAGACAGATTACATTTGATATTATATCATTCGCACAAGTTGTTAATCTGATTGGAGAGAAAGTTTTTATTTCGGAAATTGGCATCACCATTTAAGACTTCGTACTTTATCAGATGAAAGGAAGGGTTAAACACTCAATTGACTTAAAATATTCACTTCAAAATGTGGCCGGAATTGTTTTTTATATTGAGACAAACTTTTTGATTAGAGCCCCAATTATTTTGCGCATACACCAATTTCCGTGCAGTAAAATTATCATATAGATTATCATAAAGTTTATTTTGTTTTGCAAAAGCTGTTTTCAAAATGATCTATCCACATCTTCTTTCTTCAAATGTATGGGCGGAAATGATTCATGTTGCCGACTTAGTAGTCTCATGCAAAAAAATGATTATTCAGTGAATGAATCCGAATCTGTTCAGTTTTAATCTTGTGCTATTGTAAAAATCATGTAAGTGATTCATTGAAAGTTCGTGCATGGATCAACTGAAATAAAATTTATTTAAATGTTTCACACATTAAAAATCCTAACAAAAGTGGTGTTGAGTACTTGAAAAATGCTTGCAAATAATGTGCATAAACATGTGTAACCATTTGCAGCTGTTGAATTTCCGTAAAAAATCTTGTGTAAGATTGCTCGGTGTAATCTATGTATGTGCACTTTGTTCAAGTATGTATGACAAACAACAAAGTTTCCAATAAAATGTTTAAAATTCTTTTTTTAGTTGTTTTCCTGGTTATTTTTACACTGTTCGAATCAATGAAACACACAATCCGGCCGCAATCTCAATGTTTGAACATTCTTTCACTTTTTTGCGCACATAAATTACCTTGAAAGTCAAATATAGTAATTTTTGGCAAACGTAAACAACTTTCAAGTTTGTGCTACACAAAAGTAGCAAACATCGACCATGTAATTCGACGTTGCTGTCTGTGTTGAATTTGTGTGCCATCTTAAGCAACACACTTTCATCAGATTCATAGACAAACTTCTCGATGTGATCTTATAACTTTGTAATATTCCTTGAGTTATTCCATGGGAATTTCCTTTTTGTTGTACGTTGTACACTTGTGGCAATGTATAGCATGTCCCTATTTTCGCTAATGTGACTAAATTTCAACAGAAAAGAGCAACACCACATTCCGATTCGTTTTCGCAAACGAAAGCAAACCTTGTGAACATCATCATATTATAAGATTCGTAAACTTTTCAGTTTTACGGCAATTCGTGCACACGTATACGAGGCTCTCGATTTGATGGAGAGGACATCAGCAGCAATGGAAATAGCAGAGTCAAGGCATTGCTGTGGACAAATTTTATGCGCGTTTTGTAAGATAAATATATGTTTTACATTGACATGGAACATGCATTATACACTTTCACATGCTACGCGCTCAAATTACAAAATATAAGTTTTGGGGAGAATGAGCGCATCCCATTCGATGTGTATCACTCGATCTTTCTCTCACGGTGGTTGTCGACAATATTATTATTATTATTATTATTTTGTGTGTACGCCTTACCAAAAGGGATAAACGTGTAAAAATAACGCAAGAAGAACAAAAAAATGTACACGACCCCGAAATGTGAACAAGAGAAAAGAAAATGCGATTACAAACCATAATCGCCTCTAATCTTTTTATCTTCGCATTTAGCCCCGAATACAAAAATGAACCGTTTTTCGATTTTATGCCTATCGCATTTCGTCTGGAAAAAAATGCGCCACCTCAATCGGGTATGTTTACTTTACTTGATGTTTTCAAGTCAACCGCTTACCAGGAGTACAGTTTGTATTTTTTCAAGGATTCACATTGAATTGAAGAGTAAGTTAACTTTTCAGTCAACATGAACTCTATATATGGATTTTAAAAACCATAATCTCCGAGCTTATACTCCTAGTGTACATAAGAGACGTGTGCATCCAAATTCTTTGCATCAATTTCATTTACTATCTCTAATGCATATGTATTCGTTGGTTGCATTCCTTTTTGCATTTCATTTTGTTTTCGAAGAAATCTCAAAAGCGTCCGCAATATGGTCAGCAAATGTGGGTTCTTCAATAAAACCCTGTAGTAACATTCTCTGTATATTTGATGAGTTTTTTCTCCCATATTGCTTGGAATTTAAAAATGAAACGCTTTGCATACTGAAGAAGCAGAGTAAGTAGCATTCACTCAGCACGAAATTTCTATACTACATTCCCCGAAGGCATAACAACAAAAAAAGCACAAACAATGAGGACGTTCTATTAATCCAATTTCACTTTTGTGATGTCAAAATTTGAAAAAAAGATGTAAACAATACTTTCGCAAAAAAGAAGCTCCCTCAAAAAATACAATGGAACCAACATGATTGAATCGAGAATATAAAGCGAAATAAAGAAATGAATCGAATGTTTTAAAATTCGAACATTTTTGTATTGTGTCGTTCATTACGACGGAAGCTATTATTTATAATCTGTAAACAATTTAGTAAAATGCTTATCTTAATGACCTTTCGCAAAATGGTCGAACACGTTTTCTTTTTCATCTAAAGACGTGTCGCACACACACAAAAATGTTGTGACTAAAAGAATAATCATCACAAAATGCGAAAACGAGCAAACGGCATTTCTTTGGACCGAAATGGTCGTGATGTTGACTCACTTGAGCTAATGATACGAAATATTCTCGATACGTGTGTACATAAATCGATGTAACATTTACTCACATATTGCAAATGTACAACATTTCGCTATTGACGATTCATCGCCCGAGTTGCTGAATTCATCAAGTTCATTGCTTGTGCAAATGTGTTCTACGCATGCGATTAATTCGAGGGGGAAATGGACGTGTTCCGTACTTCATTTCTCGCTTGAAAATATGAAAAAGGCTATAGATTTCATTGAAAAGCCTACGCGCGCCTCATGTATCGGATGCAAACGAAGCAAAGTAGAATGAATGCATATAACGAAAGAAAGTCATTCAGTTGGCCATAATGTAGTGGGACAAAAGCACATGGAGAGAAAGGCCACGTACATATATTTATTACACAGTATAAGCTTAAGCTTACTCCGTTCAACGCAAAAACAATCGATATCTATATGGTGCATGCAAATTTTGAATTCTCGTATAATTGCTGAAGTCAATCGGCAAAGATATAATTCAATTTGGTGTGGCGTACAAAGAAACGTTGAGCATTCATTTCGAAAGATCAAAGTATGCGTTTGAGCTAGCACAGTATCTGGACAATTATCATGGGAATGTGGAAAAAAAGGAAAGGTGAAAACAGTTCAATTAGTAGAGTTATTTATGATTTCGTTTTGCAAGTGTTGGACTCATTCCATGATATGGCAAATAATAAATTGTAAAAAAGTGAAAGAAAAACCGGCACTGAATTTAATAACAATATACATTTTTATGGTTGCGCACATGACAGCTGCCTGCTTTTGCATGCTTTCGTGGGCTTTCGTGCGTTTCATAATTTTTCGTTGTTTTGCGATTTAATTCATTACACCAGTGGCTGCTGCTCGCTTTGATGAGGTCAACCTATTAAAATGTGTTTAATTATTTGTGCAGCCATCGGTGTATGGAGTGTGTGGGTTGCGCGAACCAATGCCATGTTGCCATAAATCAAAACAGAGCGAGAATGAATTAATACGGGACAAGAGTAATGAGTTTCGTTCTCTCTCTCGACGATACGTATTTCGTGAATTTTTTTGCCGTCGTTGCAATGCACGGGCCTAAAAAGCCAAACTCGTTTCGTACCGAGACACGATATGGTTGACCAACAAACATTAACAAACGACAGCTCTTTCTCGTTGCCACTCTGTTACACCTCTTTTCATCCCACCCTCCCCCGCATATCCATCCGCAATCACTCTCGCATTCAACCATATGAGGTTGATCGAATTGACTTTTTGTGGATTTTTGCGACATGATCACACAAAACAAAAGAGACGCACGCAAGAAACATTGAAATTGACTACTCATCTGATTGATAGAAAGAGACAGGAAAATTGGATACAAAGGGTAAAGGATTGAATACAAAACAACACATCTCGATTGCCATTCGATAAAGCAAAAACAAACAAATTTTTTCTGTTGCGATTGTTACATGTTTTGTATACATTAATGGACATTTTACTGGTGCTGAAAATGTGAATGTTGCTTTACTCTTTTGATTGGCCTTTTTGCTTGCTTTTCATAGTCAATTTACAATTAAACGTACACAATGACCCGGAATGACTCTGTGTGCTCATCGACTCAAACATATACATTGTAGCACAGAAGAAATAACGGAAGCAATAATTATAGCGTAAAAAGCATTACGTTCGAAAAATAGTCAACATACAAACAACATTAGTGGACATTTTTATTTGGTCTTTTTTCTCTCTCTCGCACAGTTT